GACTACTGGAGGGGAGGGAATCCTGTCCAGGTGCCCCAGTTTGGAAGAAAGGGGACATAAACCAATGAGTCCCCACCTGTCCCTCTGTCCTCCCTACATATATGTACTCCCTTGCCTTCTCTTGGCCCAGCAGGACTTTTCTGGGGCATGGCCTGGGATGACTGGGGACACCGTGGCTCCTGGACCAGGACAGCCGTTATGAGGAGGAAGGAGATGATAAAGGGCCCTCTAAGCATCCCAGACCTTGGTGGAGCCTGAACTCAGTTCTTGTCTACACACATTTATTAAACCTGTACGGGCTGGGCGCAGAGCCAGGGACTAGGGAGACAGACCCAGGTTCTGCCCATGCAGGAGGGAGGGGAGGCTGTCCCAGGAGTCCTCACAAGCCTCGCAGACATCCCAGTGTGTCCGGAAAGCCAACTTTTCAGTCCCTTCTGTAGGAGCCCCTGTTGGGCAGGGTGAGGGCGGACAGGCCCATGCGGGGAGCAGGCCGGCCCGCGTTCAGTGCTGTGGGGGTGGGCGGCGGGCCGGGAGTGCCCTGGGCTCGTAGAGCTTGTAGGAGCCGCTCTGAGAACACTGGGATGAGCACGTGTTTCCACTTCAGGGCCCACCAGAGTAGAATCCTGGAATCACGGAGGATGCCACGGGGTTCCCAGGACATGTCCGCTGGCCTCCTCCACAGAGCCGGCCCCTTGGCCACACGCCTTGCAGATCAGCCCAGTAACAAAACCTGCTGCTGACCGGGTGCTGGCTGTTGGCCGGGCCACACTCGGTGCCCACATACCCCTCCCTGCATAGGCTGCAGGACAACCCTGGGAAGTAGAGATTATACATTATCACCGCTGGATGTTACGAATGAGGAGACGGAGTCTGGGAGCGGTCCCTGGTCACAGAGATGGTCGGAGGCAGGGCCGGGATCCAAACCCACGTGCTGGCCTGAGCAGGGTGCTTCTGCCAGGGCGTGCTCTGCACAGCCAGGGACCCGGTCCTGAGTCCTTGGCCTCGGCTGACAGGGACTCCATGTGGAGCTGCAGGAGCTGGGCCGGCGTGCGAAGAAGCTGGGATGTTGGTGGCGAAGCTGGGATGTTGGTGGCGAAGCTGGGATGTTGGTGGAGAAGCTGGGATGTTGGTGGCGAAGCTGGGATGTTGGTGGAGAAGCTGGGATGTTGGTGGCAAAGCTGGGATGTTGGTGGCGAAGCTGGGATGTTGATGGAGAAGGTGGGATGTTGGTGGCGAAGCTGGGATGTTGGTGGAGAAGCTGGGATGTTGTGGCGAAGCTGGGATGTTGGTGGAGAAGCTGGGATATTTGAGGGGCACAGGTAGAGCAGCCCATGCTGACTTCTTTCCTCTCTGGAAGCTGAAAGGCTGTCAGAAGCTGTTAGAGGATTCGAGACAAAAGGCTTGGCCTGGGAGGAGCCCTTGTGGGACTGCAGGCCTAGGACTCGAGCTGCCCCAGGATGGCCAGGCATGGACGGTGGCTCTCCAAGGTGGAGAGGTTGCCTCTGCTGGGGGATGACTGCCTGCTTGTGGACTCCCCCAGCCCAGATCCAGCCCACACTGGCCAGGAGGGAGAGGCATGGAGGGCTAGTTCTCTGGTCCTGAAGATGCCGAGGTCACCCCTGCGCCCTAGGACAACTCAGGCCCGTTAGACGTGGCAGGGAGTGGCTCAGAGAGCCCAGGCACCCTGGCTGTGTGCAGAGGCCATGCGCTGCCTTGGAAAGGACACAGGCGTCAGGGTCCACAGACTTGAACTCCAAGTGTCACTTAGCCCCTACCAGCTGGTGACCTTGGGCAAGTCGCTTAATCATGGTCTGTTCTCTCGACTATAAAATAGGAAGGTCATGGGGTGCCTGGGTGGCTCAGTCATTAAGCGTCTGCCTTCATCTCGGGTCATGATCCCGGGGTCCTGGGATCGAGCCCCGCATCGGGCTCCCTGCTCTGCGGGAAGCTTGCTTCTCCCTCTGCCTGCCGCTCCCCCTGATTGTGTTCCCTCTCTTGCTGTGTCTCTCTGTCAAATAAATAAAATCTTAAAAAAAAAAAAATAGGAAGCTCATGAGGATTCAATAGGTTAATGGTGATGCTGAGGCCAGGACAGTGCAGTGCTCCACCAGCTCACTGAATTCTCCCAGCGGCCCCATGCTGACTGAGGTTATTGTTACCTCCACTGCATGCGTGAGAGCCTGGAGGCTCAGAGAGGCTCAGTGACTTGCCCAAGGTCACCACCTGGCTCCCAGGCTGAAGCGGGTAACCACCATGCTGTTCCAAGCCTGCAAATGTAGTTTCTTTCCCCGTCTTCGATGGGAGGAAAGAACTCAAGCTCCATCCCAAAGGCCCAGAAACTCAGCTCAATCAAACTCAGTTCCCCAGGACCCTTCCATAGCACCTCAAATCTTGGTAGCACTTTACAGTTTATAGGAACTTCTAACCCAGATTATCTAATGGATCTTTCCTAAAACCCTGTCTTCCCCCACTAACAGATGAGAAAACGGAGGCAAGAGGAACTTAAGTGCCTTATTCACAGAGGTGGGAAATGGTAAATTAGCCTTGAATCCATTCCAGGCCACCATAGTTGCCTTCAGAAACCTCCAGCAAGGGGGAGCCTGGGTGGCTCAGTCAGCTGAGCGGCTGACTCTTGGTTTCAGCTCAGGTCAGGATCTCAGGGTCCTGGGATGGAGCCCCGTGTTGCAACACGCTCCGCGCTCAGCAGGAGTCTGCTTCTCTCCTTCCTTCTCCCTCTGTCCCTCCCCTGACTCGTGCTCGGGTGCTCTATTTCAAACTAATAAATAAATCTTTAAAAAAGAAAAAAAAAAACCCTCTGGGAGAAATCACACACCATCTAACCCAAATAGTCATTGTCACCTCAGTGTGTCTGCGTGCTTTCCCCTATTCAAACAACAGGTTTATTTTTTAATTTTTCAAAATTTAGAAATACATGACTAAAAAGTCAAAATGTTCTGTGCAGAATAATTCCAAGTAATTTATGTAGATACTCCACCCCCAAGAAGATGGAATGTAACTCCCCACTCCTTCAGTGTGGGCTTCATGCAATGACTTCTTTCCAAAGAGCACGATATACAAAGGGGGAAGAAAGAGTGACATCACAGGGAGAAACCTGACAAACACTACTTCAGCCAGGTGATCGAGGTTCCCCCAACCGTGACGTTCATAGCACGTACCCATCATGGGATGGGATGTGATGAGAATGGCGTGTCACCTCTGTGGTCTTCCTCCCGAAAGCCCATAACCCCGGTCTCATCATGAGAAAAACATCAGACGAATCCCAATTGAGGGATATTCTACAAAATACCTGATCAGTACTCCTCAAAATCGTCACAGTCATCAGAAACAAGGAAAACCTGGTCATTACAGTCAAGAGGAATCTACAAAGACATGACAACTAAATGTTATGTGGTATTGTGGATGGAATTCTGGACAGAAAAGGGACATTAGGGGAAATCTGAATAAAGTTTAGACTTGAGTAATAATGTATTTATATTGGTTCACTAATTGTAACACATGTACTTTACTCACGTTAACAACAGAGATCACTGAGTGTGGGGTGTATGGGAACTCTGCACCATCTCTACAACTCTTCTGTAAATCTAAAACTGTTCTAAAAAATAAAGCTGATTTTTTAAGAAGTCAAAAGTTTCAAAAAGATATTCAGTGAAAAGTTTCTCTTTTGCCCTTGGTCAAGTTGCTCAGTCATCTTCCCGAGCAAGTGGCCACGTTTCTTCCCAGAGAGGTTCCAGTGAGGCAGCAGGGTTCCAGTGTGGAGCCTGGTCTCCACAACTAGATGGCTGGCTCTCAATCTTGATCTCTGCCAGTTTCTAGCTGTGTGACCCCAGGCAGTTCCTTACCTTCTCTGTGTCCTTTGTCCTCAAAGATATAATCCTCATAGGATTATTGGGAGTGTTAAATGTATTAATGTATATAGTAAGCACCTTATAAATGGTTGCTTTTATTATTACAAATAAACAAGCAAATGTATTTATGGAGCAAACATGTTAAGAAAAAATACCCAGGGGTGCCTGGCTGGCTCAGCTGGTGGAGCACGCGACTCTTGATCCCAGGATTGTGAGTTTGAGCCCCACCTTGGGTGTGACGATTAGTTAAAAATAGAATCTTAAAAAAAAGAAAAAGAAAAAAAACCTGAGGAAAAAAATTGTAAATAAGGCACACACAAAAAATTACTAAGTGCCTTTTCAAGATATTTTTGGCTAATAACCCCACCTATGGGTCATCTAGGGGAAGTAATTTTGTCTGACATACTATTTACTATTGATTAGGGCCCAGACTCTATATAAAGTTAAGAGGTTAAGCTGTAGAAGATTGATAAATAGCAAATTATTTTTATCTGGCAGAACAAAAAAGTGATCTTTTTTTTTTTTTAAAGATTTTATTTATTTGACAGAGAAAAAGACAGTGAGAGAGGGAACACAAGCAGAAGTGGGAGAGGGAGAAGCAGGCTTTCCGCCGAGCAGGGAGCCCGATGCGGGGCTCAATCCCAGGACTCTGGGATCATGACCTGAGCTGAAGGCAGACGCTTAACGACTGAGCCACCCAGGCACCCCAAAAGTGATGGTTTTATTGCCAGGCAGGAATTAAACTTTTTTGTACCTACCTTTCCAATCTCATTCAAGCATTCTTCTCTCCACTGTCAGTAATGGTTTTTCCTTCCCCTCCTTCAATCCTTCATTCACTAAGTAGTTAAATACATCCCGGTACTCACTATATGTTTGTATTAGTCAAGTTTATCTTGGTGCAAATTTTACTTTGATAAATAGTAACATGTCATACACGCTGTTCCACCCCTTGATTATTTACGCTTAATACATCTTGAAGATAGTTTGGGGCGCCTGGGTGGCTCAGTTGGTTAAGCGACTGCCTTCAGCTCAGGTCATGATCCTAAAGTCCCGGGATCGAGTCCCGCATCAGGCTCTCTGCTCGGCAGGGAGTCTGCTTCTCCCTCTGACCCTCCTCCCTCTCATGCTCTCCATCTCTCATTCTCTCTCTCAAATAAATAAATAAAATCTTTAAAAAAAAAAAATACATCTTGAAGATAGTTTCATATCAGAACATAAAGAGCTTCCTTAATCTTGTTTTACCACTGTATAGAATACATCATATGGATGTACGGTAATCACACCCATAATCAACTTAGCTAGTCCCCTGGCTAAGTTGATGGATGCTTAGGCTGTTTTCACTCTTACGATTGCAAACAATGCTGTATGAATAACCTCCTAAGGAGGTTAGGGTAGAATCATTTGTACAGAGATGGATGGGAAAGCAGAAGGACTCTAGAGGGTGAAGGAGCCTTAGGGAGGGACCTGATCACCTGCTCCCAGCCTGGCCTTAGCCCATCTTCCCCTAATTCTGTGCCCACCTAGCCTCCTCCTCCTGCCTCCTCCTCTCCATCCTGAGCTCCTGGTATCTCCAGACAGGAAGGGCTAGCCTTTGATTCTCTCGAGGCCTGGGCTGTAGCTTGTACTGTGTGGGAGATGAGGATGCCTTGGAGAGGCGGATCTTGGGGGCTTGGGGCCTGGGGCTGCTACTGTCCCTAGGCTGTAGCCACTGAGGGCACATACTCAGCACGCCCTCATGGCTCTGGTAGGGGATGAGGACCCGGGAGCCAGGGACTACCTGGAGGGGCTGGGGGGCTGGGGTAGGGGGCGGGGCAGTGCCTAGCAGCTCTGGCACAGACTTGCTGCGGGTGCCCAGCGCAGGTGGCTGGTCAGGGCACAGGGTGTGGCAGGCCGTGGTGAGGAAGGGACTGGCCAGGCTGGTCGTGATGGTCACGAGATGGTCCAGGACACCCCCCTCCTGAGGAAACTGGGCAAAGGGGAGGCTCAAGGTGGCCTGCAGTCGCTCTAGGAGAGATGGGGTGGCCTGGGCCTGGGCCTGGGCCTGAGCCACAAGCCCAGGCAAGGCTGGCCACTCGGGCTGGTAATGCTGGCTCAGCTGCTCTATTTGGGGGCGCCGCAGCAGCATCCGGATCCTCTGCACGGTGTCGAAGCTGTCAGTCAGCAGTGCCCACTCCAGGGCTGTCTTGCCCCGAACAGGATCCACCGCTGTCAGGTCAGCACCTGGGAGGGGGCACAGGAGTGACATGGGATGGGACAGGGAATGGTGACTTGCAAAAGGGCAGATTCTTTTTTTTTTTTATTTGAGAGAGAGAGCATGAGCGGGAGGAGGGACAGAGGGAGAAGCAGGCTCCCCGCGGAGCAGGGAGCCCAATGTGGGACTCGATCCCAGGACCCTGAGATCATGACCTGAGCGCAAGGCAGGTGCTTAACAGACTGAGCCACCCAGGCGCCCCAGAAGGGCAGATTCTTTTGCAGCAGGACTGATTTGGGTTAGATTAAAAACCACAGAGTCCCATCCTGTTGCAGCTGGAATCTGGGAACCGTCAGCCGATACAGCCTCAGGACAGTACCAGCCCCAGATACCAACATCTATTTAAGGCTAAAGAAGAAGGGGCGCCCGGGAGGCTCAGTCAGTTAAGCATCTGTCTTCAGCTCAGGTCATGATCTCAGGGTCCTGGGATCGAGCCCCACATCGGGCCTCTCCCTCTGCCTGGCACTGCCCCTGCTTGTGCTCTCCCTCTCCATCTCTCTCTCTCTCCCAAATGAATAAATAAAATCCTTAAAAAAAAAAAAAAAAGACTAAAGAAGAAAATGGAAAGTCCAGAAAGTGGAAAAGACCTCAGAGACCTGGTGGCGGGGTGGGTGCGGGGGGTGTCTCCAAACCTGGAGCAGAATAGGAACCTCCTGAGCCAAGGAAGGAGTGGTGGGCAGGTTGCCCAGGACAGGGGAGGCCCGAGCTGCACCTGCTGGGCAGGTGGAGGGGGTCCTGTGGGCCCTCACTCCTCATTCTTCTCTTCATCACCACACCCCTCTAATCTGGGGTGGGGGAATAGCAGTCACTTTGGGATAAAGGGACGTTGCTGAGTTTTCTCCTTTCTCACCCCAAACACAGTCAGATGGGATAGGGAAAGGAAGAGTTTGGAGGCTGGGGTTCCCCAGGGTGACCAACAGATGGCAACCCCACCTCAGGAAATAGTGAAGGTCCAAGACTTCATGAGCAGTGTGGACTTCACTCCAGAACAACTCCAGGTGGCCACATGCCTCAACTACATATCATCGTGTCCCTGGAACCCTGGCTTGTCAGAAACGGAAGTCATCCCAGAGAAAGCCAACACCCTCATTATACTGCTATGGCCCAAAGAGGGAAGGCATCTGCCCAGGGTCACTCAGCTAGTGGCAGAGCCAGGACTAGAACCCAAGAGTCTGGTTCCAGATATCAGCGTTTTTTGTTTTTCCGGCTGGTCTAGGTTATCCTCCCAAGCTTTCTTTTCTGAGACCAACATTCATGGTGTAAACAGAGATATCAATAGCTGGACTTTGCTGATTGTGAGAAGCTCAAGCACACTCCCCTCCTCCAGGAAGTCAGCCTAGATTGATCCTCAATCTCCACCTCTCTTCTCTCTGTAACCATACAGCTGACTTAGTGTCAGGCTGGAAGGCTTGGGGAGGGACTGGAGGTCGCAAATCCCAGTCCAGGCCCCATGCACCTGCCATGAGGAGGGCAGCCACGCATTCCGAACGGTTCCGCACGGCGGCCTTCATCAGTGCTGTTAGCCCCCGCTGGTCTCGGCGCTCCAGGTCCAGGCCCGGGTAGTAGTTGAGCAGGAGACTCACCAGAGGCACATGGCCTGCAGGGCACCAAGCACCGAGCTTAGCTCTCCCCGAAAGAGGGTTGATGAAGCCCCAAACCCACCCTCCACCAAACACAACAATCTCTGTGGTGGGAGAAAGTTAGACAGAAAGTATGGGATTGTGAGCCTGTCTGAAGTGGGGGAAACTGGTGGAAGGTAAGGTCAACAGTCTCTCACCTGCTTGGGCAGCCAGCATGAGGGCTGTGTCCCCTTCTTTATCCTGCTGGTTCACATCGAGGAAAGGGCAGCGGCTGAGCAGAGCCACCACACTCTGGAAGCCACGGTAGCAGGCAACCATGAGACCTGTCTGGGGGAGGGGCAGCTCAGCCCCTGCGCTTTTTTCCAGGATCTCCTTGGGGCCCCTGTGGGGCCCTCTAAACCCACATCCATCCCAGAGATGTCCCAGCCTCTGTTTAGACCCACCCTCACCCCCTCCCTTCCTCCCAAGGATCCAGGCATTGGATGAATGTCCTGTGGCGGGGACACAGTTGCTCTCGCTGCCCTGGGAAACACCTGGGGTAGCTCACCCTCCCGTTGCCATCCACCTGGGTGGCCTCTTCTGGGGAGACCCCACCGTCCAACGTGGCTTGGAGCTGGACAGGGTCATTGCGGACACAGGCCCAGTACAAGGCGCCCAGCCTGCAGCCTGGGGCAGGGGTCTCCTGGCCGGCGGGGCAGGACGATGCCTCAGACATGCCCAGCCCTCCCCTGGGCGCTCTTCCTCTTCCAGCCCGGGGGGGCAAGAAGGCCCGTCCCTCCGCCTCACGCGGCTAGCATCTATAACACAGAATGGAGGGGAACAGTGTCTCCCTGCGTCCCAGGGAAGGGGCCCAGCAGCCCACCCACCCAAGAGAAGACAAGCTGTGGGCAGGAGCCCTAAGAGGGCAGAAGTGGTTCGCTGTGAGGATCCCAGTTAAGAGTCAAGGAGAGGGGCGGTCTTCTCTTTCCCAAGGGACCTTACCCGGGTGTGGAGGCTCCCTAGGAGGCGGTCATTGCCGGGGCCCACAGCACCCCCAGACTCCTGGGAGCACACTCGCCGGATCTCCGGGGCGGCCCGAGGTGGGCTGTCTCTCCCCAGGAAGCAAGGCAGGTAACAGATGGCTGGACTTAGGGAAAGAGCTGTGGCAAACACCCGGCGGCTGAGCTGGATCAAGCTGGGTCAGTAGCGGACGCGGGGCGGGCAGGGGCGGGCGCTCTCCGCTCCCAGAGACCGGGACCCGCCCGAGAGCCTGCCCTGAGTGGGCGGGGCCCGATCACGAAGGCTCCTCCCCTGCGGAGGCGGCTCTGGGGTACGACCCCCCCCCCAACACGCTCACCTTCTGCTTCCCGCAGCAGAAACACACCCTTCGGAGGTGGGAGGGTCATGAGGGGTCCCGACCCGCCCGCGTAAGACTGAAGTCCTGAAGTCCCTTTCCCTTCCGTGGAGCCGGGGTGGTGGAAGGAGAAGGTGCGAGTGCAGACATCTCTTTGAATAGGGGCTGGGACTGGGGGGAGGTGAATTGCCTAATTAGGAGTACAGAAGTTATGAAAGAATAAGTTTCATGGACTAGTTTTGGTATGGTAAATTAAGTATGGAATATTTAAATTGCATTAAAATTACAATAATTGAATTAAATTATTTACAATTATTTATTAATAATTATTAAATCATCCTTTTAATTAAATTAATACTAAAATTAAATTTAATGGATCAGTTTTGGACCTCAGGTGTAGAAAACGGGGCCAACCGTGTTCTCTGTTTGTATCACTCCCATCATCAGCATGTACAAGATCTTTTTTTATTTTACTTTATTTGGCTAATCTCTTTCATCCCTAATCCCCACAGCCCATTTTTCTCCCCTTTCCCTTTACCAATTGGCACTTATATATTCTTAAAAATGTACATTGCATTAAAAAAGGTAGTGTTGGGGCGCCTGGGTGGCTCAGTGGTTAAGCGTCTGCCTTTGGCTCAGGTCATGATCCCAGGGTCCTGGGATCAAGCCCCTCATCGGGCTCCCTGCTTCGCAGGGGCGGGGGGCCGCTTCTCCCTCCCCCACTCCCCCTGCTTGTGTTCCCTCTCTCGCTGTCTCTCTCTCTGTCAAATAGATGAATAAAATCTTTTAAAAAGATAAATAAAAAATAAAAAAGGTAGTGTTGGTTTATGTATTTTTTTAAATTAGTTTCAGAGGTAGAGTTTAGTGATTCATCCCTTACAGTACTCATTACACCAAGTGCCCTCCTTAATGCCATCACCCAGTTACCCCATCCCCCCACCGACCTCCCCTCCAGCAGCCCTCAGTTTGTTCCCTGGAGTTAAGAGTCTCTTATCATTTGTCTCCCTCTCTGATTTCATCTTATTTTATTTTTCCCTCCCTTCCTCTTTGTGGTTTATGTATGTTTTAACCAGCACCCTAGAATTGAGTGACAGAACTCATTCTGCTTTTTTCACTCCGCGCTGTTTCGGAGATGGCCCCCTGTTGCTGTCCGCGCAGTGTATCTGTTAGGAGCATCTGTGGTTGTCAGTAACCGAAAGCCGGCCTCAGTGGTGTGGTGGCTGCCAACATCAATCCAAAACTCCTTTTAGTGTTTCTTCTGAACAACAGAAGCTGGAAAAACCAAGATGACACTTCCTCGATTCCCTTGAGCTAGGAATCTGTGATTTAGGTTCTGCTCTTGTGCAAGACGTACATTTGGAACAGAGCTGAATACCATGGGACATCTGTTTTGCTGTCACAGATCAGGACAGATGTAGCGGGGCTCTGGTGAGCAGCTTCCTGATTCATCAGCTTCCTCCAGGAGTGACTGTTGCTTCCCAGTCACAGATACAGGTCATGTGCCTCTCAAAGCTGGGAGTTGTTTCTGAACCTAGAACCTGTTTCCCCATTCCTTTATGTCTACACTAGCCAGATCTATTTCTGTTGCCCCCTGTGGAACCCTAACTGCCACACGTGGCTTAACCAAATAGGGGTTTATTCTTCACACAAGATTAAGGAGTTCAGGGATAAGCTGTTGGTGTTGATATAAACTGACGATGGCAGGGCCTTCTCTGGGGAGTCTCTTGACTTCTCCTCATGGCCACAAGATGGCTCCTGTAGCTCTAGCCATCAGAGTAAAATGCGGTGAATGCATGCTATGGAATTCTGTGCAGCAACTAGAAGAAATCCACTAGATTACATGTAAGACATCACTACTTAGATGACACAATCTCTACCTATGACCCCCCTTCTCTCTAGTCACGTTTTAGTTAAGTGCGACCTTGTAACATGGTTTTGGCCAGTGAAATGCAAGCAGTAGTCTAATGGGTGAGGCTCCTGGAAAAATTTTTGCTCTCTTGATAAAAGATATGGGGCGTAGCTTTTTACCTCTTTCTTTCTTCCCCCTCTTCCTGCTGCATGAAGTTCCATAGTGTGTATGCATCCGATTTTTCTTACCTATTCTTCCAGTGTTGCACACCTAGCTGCCTCCAGCTTCCCGCCGCTGCAAATAATGCTGCAGTGAACATCCTTGTACACATCTAGTAGACCTGTGGCAGAGCGTGTCTGAGACCGCTAGGCCAGAGGGCATGTATGCGCTTACTGACCAGGTACTGTCAGATGGTTCTCTCTTTTGCAATGTGCCCACCAGCAATGCATGAGAGCCTCCCTACATCCATGGCCATGCTTGTAATTATTCAACCTTCTAATTTTTGTCGATCTGATGGTACAGAACTATAAGTTAATATCATTATTTTACACTGGATTTTCCCTATCAACAAGGTGAGCATCTTTCCAAATACCTGGGAGCCTTTCTTGTGTCCCCTCCTGGAAACTGCCTGTTCCTAGCCTTTGTCCGATGTTCTGTTGTTTTCCTATCTTTTTCTTATTGCTTTTCCAGGAATTCCTTTTAATATTCTAGATAATAAACCCATTGTCAAATGGGTTTTAGATGTCGCAACTGTACTATGTACATTTCTGTTAACTTTATCTGTGGTGAGCTTCACTGAAAGAAATCCTGAATTTTGGGCACCTGGGTGACTCAGTCAGTTAAGCGTCTGCCTTCGGCTCAGGTCATGATCCCTGGGCCTTGGGATGGAGCCCCGCATCAGGCTCCTTGCTCAGCGGGGAGCCTGCTTCTCCCTCTGCCCCTCTCCCTGCTCTTATGTATAGGTATGGATTTCTAATTATCTTTCTTTGGATTTTTTTTTTTATCTATCCTGCCTTTGGACCTATAAATTGTTGTCCTTCATCGATACTGGAAAATTTGGAAATCTATTAAATTCACCTTGGTTCCGTCAAAGATAAAGACTGTGGATATTGTGGGGCACCTGGCTGGCTCAGTTGGAAGACCATGAGACCCTTGATCTCAAGGTTGTGAGTTCAAGTCCCGCTTTGGGTATGGAGAGTACTTAAATAAATAAAACTTAAAAAAAAAAGACTGGAAATTGAAGCTCAAGTTTGCCTAATTCAACAAATATTTTCAAACTAAAGCAGACTCCTTGATTTGTTTCCTTGTCTGAGATCCTGCCTTCCCTTAGATTTTAACCTAATAATTTTTTTAATTTTTTATTATCTTTTTTATTTTTATTTTTTTTTAAGATTTTTTATTTATTTATTTGACAGAGAAAGACACAGCGAGAGAGGGGACACAAGCAGGGGGAGAGGGAGAAGCAGGCCTCCTGAGGAGCAGGGAGCCCGACGCGGGGCTCAATCCCAGGACCCTGGGATCATGACCTGAGCCAAAGGCAGACGCTTAACGACTGAGCCACCCAGGCGTCCCATTAATTCTTTTTTTAAAAAAAGAGATTTATTTATTCATTTTAGAGAGAATGAGAGAGTGCAGGCATGTTGGGGGAGGGGAGGAGAGAAGGGGTGGAGGGAGCAGAGGCAGAGTGGGAGGGAGAGAAAAACTCAAGCAGACTCCATGCAGAGTATGGAGCCTGATGTGGGGCTGACTCCCATGACCCTGAGATCACCACCTGAGCATTTTTACTGTTTTACTCAGAAATATCAGTCCAGAGTCCAGCCAGTCATGTTATTGGAAACAGAATTTCCTCTAATCCTAAGTAATTAAAAAACAACCTACTAGTAATATGGGGAAAAGACATGGTAATTAAGTCATAGAAGAAATGGCCAATATACATATGAAAAGATGCTTAATCTCACAAGTAAGCAGGAAAAGACAAATTAAAACAAGAATGAAACATTGCTTTTGGCCCAACAGCTAAGCAAAAATCAAACAATAATATTAAGTGCTTACACTGTTGGGGAAATGTAAATTAGTGAAGTATTTTTGGAAAGCATTTTGACAGTATCTATCAAAATAACAAATGTACATACACATGAACCCAAAAATTCTGCTTTTAGAAATCTTTCCCCAAACAGTACTTGTGTATGTGAACAAAGATACACTATATATACTTTGCAGCATTGTTTGTACTTGTAAAAACGAAATTTAGAAATGACTTAAATGTTCATCAATAGAGGAAGGGCCTGAAAAAAATATGCACATGAGATTATGCCTCCATTGAAAAATAATAAGATAGATCCATATGGACTGCTTGGAAAATATCTCTGAGACGTGTTGTTAATTGAAGAGAAAAAAGCCATATATATATGTATATATATATATGAAGTGTGTGTGTGTGACTGGTTAACTTACATGTATGTAAATGCATAGAAAGGACTGGAACAGTAGTTGTCAACATTGGCTGAACCATGTAATCACTTAATCACTTAAAAAAAAATAGTAGCGGGGCGCCTGGGTGGCTCAGTCGGTTAAGCATCTGACTCCTGTCGGCTCAGGTCATGATCTCGTGGGGCACTCAGCGGGGCATCTGTCTGGGATTCTCTCCCTCTGCCCCTCCTCCCACTTGCTTGTGCATGTAGTGCACGTGCATTCTCTCTCTCATTCTCAAATAAATAAATCTTTAAAACAAAACAAAACAAACAAAAAATAGTAGGGTTTTTTTTTTTAGGAGGCTCCTTGCCCAACTTGGGGCTCAAACTCATGACCCTCAGTCGCTCTACCGACTGAGCCAGCCAGGCAAACCCCCCCCAACCTCTCTTGTACACAGAGTTCATCACTTCTCAGTGTACCTCTGAACTTCACTCACTTATTCATTTGTTCAGTAACTACGAACGGAAACTTGCTCTGTGTCAGGCACATACTTTGACTGCCCACATGAGTTATCGTTAATCTTGTTCTTGGCTGTTTCCCTCACCTTGATCATCTTTGTCTCCGGCATCTAGCACAGTGTTGGCCACTCACTGAATGGGAAGTTGCCTGACAGTTTCTCCTCTGGCCTGAAGAGTACCAACCCCTTCCCCCTCCCGCGCCCAGTACCATTCAGCAACGACTGTAGAAGGATAGGGGACTTTAATCTGTGCTGAGAGGCCCCAAGGACATCTAACTAGGTAAAAGGGAATTTCACATTTTGCTTTTCAAATGATCTTCCTCCAAGCCTAGAGCACCCCCAGCCTCAGCAAGGATCCTGTTCTGCAAGGCCACTCTCAGCCAGCAGGTGGCAGCCCTGGGCAGGAATTGGGAGAGCATCCCCACAGAGTGGAGGCTATAGCAGAGGGTCCTAGGGTTGGATGCAGGGGCAAGGTCTTGTCAGGGCAGGTGCACAGGAGGAGGGTGACCGGGACCATTTTTGGTCCCAAAGCATGATAGACAGGGGAATTATTTTTGTAGATCAGCTTTAGTCAACCTGGTTGGGTACCAGAAGGTTTGTAAGGTTTCTTCTAACTTCTGCCTGCAGCAATGCTCGGTTCTGGTGCCCTGTCCCATCCTCTGTCCTCAGGCAGACTGTATGTTGGTCCCTTCCCACCCCACCCGCCTTGTCCAGTTCCCCAGGCTGGGTCTTGACCCTCACTGTGTATGTCTTTGTTGATAGGGATGATTGTGGTAGAGGGGGACTAGAGGTTGCTAGTTAATGCATAAAATAATGGATCACATCCTGGGCCTTATGGGTACATTTCAGTCAGGGCCTTCTAGAGTCTCAGTGTGGTGGTCTTAAGGATTAACAGCGAGGGTTATCCTCCTTTTGATCTCTTAGCTGCTGGATTCTGATAGGAGTGCACCAGAATGCTCTTTTCTTGCCCACTCCAACTTCCCTTCAATCTCGAGCTCTTCACTGCCTTCCATCTGTCTTATTTCTGTCTGCCCGACTTCTCTTCTCCATCTTTCTGGTTTTGATCTTTCTCATCTCACTGTCTGGATCTTTCCATCTTTCTATCCCTCTAACAATCTCTCTTAAGGCCCGATAACATGCATTGTCTGGAGCACCAGCTCGATTCTCTCTCTCTCTCCCTATCTTGTCTCTGACGTCACGCCATATCTCCAGCCATCTAATGCTTTGGGCTGGGGTTTGTAGGAGTCTTGCCTTGTGGAGTTCAATCAGAAGGGAAGGGGGAGATCTGGGGAAAGTGCAATAACAAATCTACAGAGAAAGAGCTCGGCAAACTCTTGAGTCAAGTTTGCAGCAGAGGCCAGTCACCGTTAGGGAACCAAATTTACTGTCATCTCAACCTCTGCCTTTCTTCCAGGATCTTTTTCCAGGACAAGCCCCCTACTCCCACCCTACAGGCCTGGTGGCAGGTACAGCTGGGGGCAGCAGTCAGTGGGGAAAAGGCCCACCCCCGCTTAAGGACTAGACATGGGATGGGACCCAGCACAGTGGGATGGAGAATGGAGGAGGTGACCTCTGACCCCCAGCTCTGGCCCCTTCTGGAGGTCCCCTGTGACCTGCCATAGGTCATGCCCCCTCCTCCCCTACCATGATCTACATCACAAAACCCACAGCTCATAACTCAATGCCAGCCAGGGAAGTCTGGGATTGATTTAGGGCCCCCTCTGACTAGTTCACCCCCACTGGACTATGGCCCTTGGGGTGGAGGTGGGGATGAGGGTCATGGGTGAAGTTCAGGCAGGAGGGTCCTGATTACCACTACATCATACCTGTTGCACTGTTGGTGGATTTGCTGGGGGGAAGGGCCCAAGCACAGGAGTCCAAGGTTCTCACGGACTAGCCCCTCTCTTTGGCTCAGCTCAGGGCCATGCTGAGGGAGCAGTGGCCATGGCCTAGTAGGCGTTCAGGGACAGTGTCCTCATGATTCAAGCCCAAGGCATCCTACAAAGCAAAGAGATTCTTGTTACCCATCAAGAGGGCAGTCTGGTAGGTCCTAAGCAGCAG